TGGGTACTCATACAAACATTCGCACATTAATTTAAGCCATAATTAGTTAAATTGCATAGAAACAGTTACTATTATTTTTGTTATGGCTCTTTAGTTGCAGTTCTTACTGGGTTCGAAGGTTTAGAGCAGTGTTTTTCAAACTTGGCAACTTTAAGATGTGTGGACTTCAACTCCCAGAATTCCCTAGCCATTCCTCACACATGTTAAAGTTGCCAAGTTTGGAAAACATGGTTTAGAGTATAGTGGACAACTTGTAGCAGTCCAGCTGCAGTACAATACTTTGCATGGAAGTTGTGGAGCATCAGATAAATGCCAAAGATCGCAACCTCTATTTTGTTTCTGTTTTACCAACTGTAAGGCTTTCATCCTTCCAGTGCAGCTATAATTATTTTATTTCGACAGTATCCATCCTTGAATCAAGATATAATAAAAAGGTTTCCCCATTTAATTTCTTTCAGACTTTGGAAGTTTTGCCAGTTTGTGCCAGATCTATGAACTGAGGCACAACTGAATACTTTTCATCACTCTCCCTGTTTCAAGTGCTCCTTGTGTTACACTTTGAATTGCATCCTCCACCTCAAGTTTGTATTATTTTATCAAGGAGCACGTATCTTTACTGGCTTAAGGGCACCTAGTAAATTCCACTTTTGGATAAGGGTCTTAAGTGCATTACAAAATACCTTTACATTTGAAAGACTGCCTGCTTCTAGCTGAGTCCCTAGATATGTACTGAACTATAATCTCCCAGAATTACCAAAACTCCCAGGAAAAGGAATGCTGCTCTAATAAAATGCTCAAGCCATATAAGAAGTCTCATTTCTTAAAACTTAAGTGCGCCCTTTATATTCTTTCCAATCCAACAATGTTGAAAAGTACAGGTGTGCAGTATTCAGATCCAGTATGGGCATCCTCTCTCAACTTCTTGGCTACTTTGTAAAGAAGCCATGCTTTTTCCTGGGCTTGGACAGTATCACATGGCAGTTATAGGCAGTCCCCAGTTTAAGAACAAACTATGTTCCCAAGGCCTGTCCTTAAGTGGAATTTGTATGTAAACTGGAACAATATTATTGTATAATACTGTATAAGTATTGTGTATTTAACTGGAATCATTGTGTATTTAACTCAAATTTTGCTTCAGGAGGCTCCATTCTTAACTATGGGTTGTCCTTAAACTGGGCGTTCTTAACCCATGAACAACCTGTACTGCTTATCACACAGAGTGCCAATGGAAAGAAATTACAAGGAGGTTAGGATCTGCTGATCTGTCCATCAACAGAATAACACTCCAATAACTGAACCAGGGAGGGGAGAAACTGGCAAAAATATATCTGGGACTGAACCAGCTTGGATATGCAAAGAAAAAATATCCCCAATTCATCCCAGTTGGGAAATGGATCAGAGTGTTACCAACTCTTCCATTTTAAACTGCCCTCCCTTCTGATCAAATAACTCAAAGCAGACTATACATAGGGGCCCTGTGCCTTCCAGTACATATATACATACACACATATGCACAAACATGCAGATGCAGCACCAAAGGAGAGTGGAAACAGATGCAACATTTTTTTTTTTTTACATAAAATATAGAATCACCTGTGGGGTTGAAAATAATTCCAGAAGCCATACTCTGCACACTTAGTTCTTGTTTAACTACTCTTCAGTGACTGTTCAAAGTTACAATGGTGCTGAAAGAATGGTCATTACGAACAGTCCTTGAAGTTACAGCCATTGCAATGCCCCCACGGTCACGTGATCAACATTTGGGCACTTGGCAACCAGCCTGCATTTATGACTGCAGTGTGCACTTCAATTCCCCCACCTGCTTATCTTCCCTCCCATGTCTGCCCTTTTAGTCCTCTGCACTCCACTGCTGCCTACCCCTGCCGCTCCCAACTCACCTTCGCTGTCTTCTTCCTCCTGCTGCTGGCCCAGGATCCAGGTGCTGGGCAAGGTTGCAGCCCCAGGACATGTACACCAAGCATGGCAGGGCAGCAGAGCCTCATCTGTCAAAGGGAGCTAGCTGGACCTGGCCAGGGACAAGGCAGCAGGACGGAGCCAGTGGATGAGGCTGGGTGATGGTTCCTCCCTGGGTGATGTAGCAGCTGTTGGACCTGTGCAAGGCCTCATGGACCTGCTGCCCTGCCTCCTCCATCAGCTCTGTCCTGCTGCTTCCCCAGCTGGGCCCGGCATGCTCCCTTTGGCAGACAAGGCTCCACTGCCCTGCCGTCACATCCCAGGGCCGTGCCCTTGCCCATGTCTGGATCCTGGGCCAGAGGCGGGAGGAAGAATATGGCAAAGGTCTGCAGGGAGTGGCAGGGGTAGGCGGAGGCAGCAGAGTGCAGGGCATCCAAAGGGCAGAGATGGGGCAGATGGGGGGGGAGTTGAAGCAGAGGGGAGAGCAGCAGGGTGGTGGAGCCTCGTCTGCCATAGGGAGCTCACTGGGCCCAGCTGGGGAGGAGCCCAGCAGTTCGTGCAGGGCAGGAGAAGCATGAGATCCTCACCTAACAACCGCAACCAGGACTTCCAGAACTGCCATCGCTAAGCAGTGCAGTCACATGATGTTTCACCTAATATCCGTTTCACTTAGTGATGGAAATTCTGGTCCCAATTAGGCTCATTAAGTGAGGATTACCTGTATGCTTTCCCTTCCTTGTTCTCATCTTACATTAGTATGTTCCACAGATGAATTAAATGGTTATCATGTTCACTTGCCTGGCGTTTGGGAAGATCTGTGGCTTATGTTAGGAAGCTAGCATTATTTTTTTTAAAAGCATATCCTAATTTCCTGTGTGTTAGAAAGGGATAAATTATTTGAATCAGAAATAATTTATTCCTGTGCTTCTTACCATATTGTTGATCTTCAGTAACTCAGTTGTTTCCAATTCTTTATGACCTATCAGGTCACAGTACCCCAGGACTGTCTGTCGGTAACTACTTCTTTGAGTGCATTTCATTTGGTAACAATATGGAAGCAATTCGCTACTGCTTTCTGGGATGTTTTTCTAGTTTCCCAATCTAGTCTTAAGACTTAGGCTGTTCTGGTGGTGTCCCACTCAAGATCTTCAGCTTTCTAGTGATCAGTCAAGTTCAGTTACATACTGTTACTTGCCATGACTCTCACCAAAGCATGTATTGTTAAACAAGTACTGGATGCATGAATTGTGAGCGTCAGTGACAGGCCTATAGCAGGAGTTATTAGAGTTTTAAGATGTCTTGCGTAGCCTCCATCTGATGCTGCATAAATTGACATTCTCCATCCTCTATGGACATCTCAGTTCTCGGGTTGGGAGTCCTCCCCTTCCCTTGGGGTCACAATTCAGCTTATATAGAGGAGGGTGCACATTAAGTTCTATATAGACAGTTTTATGTATAGAAGTGTGTCCACAGATGTGAATGCATAAAATTTGATACAGCCCAAACAAATATTCAGTTTCTGGAATAATCACACATACCCTAAGAACTACCTGTTCTACAAGCTGGATGATGAAGCAGACTAGCCTTCCTTCTCTGATAGCCTTCTCCACCCAGTAACTTGTGATTCCTTGAAGTAGTTTTATATT